CTCGCGGTCTGGACCCAGGGACTCGTCTTGACCCGGGCTACCACCCCTGTGAGTTTCACGCACGGGGGACAAGAGACGGGAATGTTACGTCGGTCTGAAATCAGCGGGGGACAGCGCGGCCGTGTCCGCTCACGAGCGCCTATTCTCGGTCAAGAAAGTGGCGGTTTCACGGGCCCGTAGAAGGCGAACCAGGGGGGCTAGAGACATGGGGCTTGGACCCACGCACTCCTCCGGACCTGGGCTACATCCTCCGTGAATTTCACTCATGGGAAATGAAAGACAAAAAAGTTACGGCCTGCGCAAAAGGGACTTGAGCTCACAAGACACTTTGTCATTTTTTCCTCCAAAAGCGTGTGTGCCTAGGAATACAGAATCTCCAGAAATTGGTTAAAAATCAACGCAGAGGCCCAGAGACTCGCGGTCTGGACCCAGGGACTCGTCTTGGCCCGGGCTACCACCCCTGTGAGTTTCACGCACGGGGGACAAGAGACGGGAATGTTACGCCGGTCTGAAATCAGCGGGGGACAGCGCGGCCGTGTCCGCTCACGAGCGCCTATTCTCGGTCAAGAAAGTGGCGGTTTCACGGGCCCGTAGAAGGCGAACCAGGGGGGCTATAGACATGGGGCTTGGACCCACGCACTCCTCCGGACCTGGGCTACATCCTCCGTGAATTTCACTCATGGGAAATGAAAGACAAAAAAGTTACGGCCTGCGTAAAAGGGGCTTGAGCTCCAAAAGCGTGTGTGCCTGGGAATACAGGGAGAGCCTCCGGAAATTCGTTAAAAATCAACGCAGAGGCCCAGAGACTCGCGGTCTGGACCCAGGGACTCCCCTGGTCCAGGGGTACCCGCGGTGTGAATTTGACGCGCGGGGGACAAAGGACCAGAAAGTTATGGCCCTTGGAAACCACCGGGGGACAGCGCGGCCGTGTCCGCTCACGAGCGCCTATTCTCGGTCAAGAAAGTGGCGGTTTCTCGGGCCCGTAGAAGGCGAACCACGGGGGCTAGAGACATGGGGTTTGGACCCACGCACTCCTCCGGACCTGGGCTACATCCTCCGTGAATTTCACTCATGGGAAATGAAAGACAAAAAAGTTACGGCCTGCGTAAAAGGGGCTTGAGCTCCAAAAGCGTGTGTGCCTGGGAATACAGGGAGAGCCTCCGGAAATTCGTTAAAAATCAACGCAGAGGCCCAGAGACTCGCGGTCTGGACCCAGGGACTCCCCTGGTCCAGGGGTACCCGCGGTGTGAATTTGACGCGCGGGGGACAAAGGACCAGAAAGTTATGGCCCTTGGAAACCACCGGGGGACCGCGCGCCTGCCATCCGCCCAAGAGCGCTCCTTCTGGGGGAGGAGAACCTCGGCTTACATGGCTCGTAGAAAACGAACCATGAGGGCTAGAGACACGGGGTCTTCACCCACGCACTCCTCCGGACCTGGGCTACCACCGGGGCGGGCTTTGCTCCCGCTCAGATCCGGGCCTGGGCGCCCATTCCCGGGGGAAGTAAGCCCCGCTTTCCGGGCTCCTCAAAGCCTAAACACTTGGGTTTTTTTCTCAAAACACTTTCTGCACACCCACACATACACGTTTTTGTTACCTGGTGGGTCCCTTTGACAGGGCCGTTCAGAATGGGACCCATAGACATAATCTTTTTTTACCAAGACTTTAAGTAATACAAAACAGTCAATAGAAACCAAACAACTATTTTAAAGGAATTTTATTTTAGATTTTGTTTTCGAATTGCAGTGATTCTATTTTTGACATAGAATTTAATGCCACTCCATGTCCGATGTCTAAGGTCATCTGGTGAGGCATTAATGCAGGCCAGGCAGTGAGACTTCCCAGGGACCTTTCCAGTCTGTATGAAAGGTGTCATGGTCTTCTCCACAGCCTTCACCTCAGATGCAGACCATGGCTTTCTTACACGTTCTAGGGAGAGAAATAAAAATATATTAGCAATATACACTCCCAGGGTGAGGACCAAGCAGCCTGGCTGTAATCCCCCACCTGGTACACTTACCAGAAGGGGCACTGCCACTACCATGGGGTGCATCTGGATGAATGGTTGAAGGTTCTCCGCTTGAAGTTTCTTTTAGCCCGTCCGTTTGTGAGAGGATCTCTACTGCTCTCCCTGTCGCACAGAAAATAAAAATACAAGTGGCCTTTAGGGGAAAAAAATCATACATATTTTAATAATATCAAGAATTACCTTCAGGCTCAATTTGTATCTGGTCGAGGCTCTTTCCTTCGAATTCCGTCACTCTTCCCTGCTCCATGGCCATCAACACTTTGCTGATTTTGGCCAGCTCCAGTGTCCCCTCTGGTAGTCTGTAATATTGCCTGTGGATGCGAATGTCATGGCCGAGGAAGTTGGCAAGTATGTCCATCTCATTCTCTTTCATATTGAGAACTGTAGACATAGTAGCTATGTGCTTTCTAAGTTTGGTTGAGGATAGCATCTCTGGATGCACCGCACCACATTCTTTGGCTACCTGGCGTAGGGAGTCTGATCCCCTGATGTGGGTGTCTGCGCCCGGGCGGGAAAAGAAGTATGGGTTATGGTCAGAGATGGAACAGGCCCTTCTGTTCTCCACCAGCACCTCCATCGAAGCAATCATTTCAGGAGTCAAAAGAACCGGCACTTTCCGACTTCTTTTCCCTTTAATTTCAATGCGTTGAAAATGCTGACACAGCTTTTTCTCAAGTTGGGACAGTCCCAGAGCAATGTCAGAATGGATCCCAGTCTTACTTCTTAAGGTAAAGGCTGTCAGTGGCATCTTTGAAACCTCACCTTCCCTTCTTCGATTGAAAATGATGACCTCACAAAGAGTCAAAACTGCCAGTTTAGACCAATGCTTAGACGTTGGCTCACTTATTAGGGTTTGCACATATTCAGGTCGACATACCTCAATATGTGCATGCATGGCTCTAACGTCCTCAGTCAGAGGGAGCAGGTCCGGAGTGTTCCACTTGGCTTGCCGGAGGGTCTGTAGGGCAGCAGAAGAAACACAGACGTCCCACCTCTTCTCAAAAAGCAGCCGGCTTCGTTGGAGGTTTTTAATAAATAGTTCATCAACACAATGCTCCATTTTTGAGTCACATTCAAGAATATCTGCTAGCTTTCTGAGGCTATGGCCGAGTTTGAGGGCCAAGGATGGAGTCTTGTATTGATTTGTTTCCTCATCATATCCAGCCACAGACCTGACTGCATCAATCACATGGTTAAAGTTGGAAGGAATAAAGAAATCCTTAATTGTTTTCAGTTTCCCTGCGGTTTTTGCTTCGTTAATTAACCTACCGACTTCTCTCATTTTCTGCCTAATGTAATCATGCTTAGTCTTATCATGCCCGTGTTTTAAGTACAGGTGCTCTCCGAGTCTCAGAATCCCCTTTTCTGCTTTGACAACACCCGTGACCTCATCCTGATGCATTGCCGAAATTAAAGACCACAGCTTTTTGCTGATGCCCTCCGGTACAGGCTGGGCTAGGGAGCAGAGGGACTGGACCCTACTTCTACCTGGTTTAGCCTGGGCATCTTTCTGTGAAAGCCGGCACCTGGCCACATGCCTCCACAGCGACTTTCGCTTAAGCAATGCCCCACAGTCTATACAGTGCAAAAACTCACTGGATTTAACTGGGGAATTTGGCTGTTTAGCTGGGACTAAAGTTCCAATGCCGGCCTTTAAAACCTCAAAATTGTGCTCACGGTTTCCACTATTCCTGATCAAATCAAACTGAAGTTTACGTGCTTTAGATTTCACAGGTAGAGCCAATGCTCTGGCTACGTCACTTTCATTTCCATGTTTTCTAGTCAAATGACGGGACATTTTGTGGCAGGACATTGAACAGTAGAGGCAGAAGTGTCTCTTGCTGTATACTCGCCCCCCATTTTTCTTCTTTTGCAGCTGCATGATAACAATCTTATTTGCCTTTGGTTCGTCACTTTCCGAGTCTTGAAGAAAAGTGTTTTTGATTTTTCTTTTTCCATACTTTTTTACAGGTTTCTTCTTGACAGTTAAATCGTCAGAATCTGAGTCGACTTCATCAATTAGGGACTCTTGACTAAGCTGCACAAACAACAAATAATTTGTAATCATTCTATATAACAATTTGAAGTCATGACTTGTAGTCAGCACTTACCAGTGGTTTGTAAGCGTGCGCTTCAGTGTGCTCCTCCATGATTTCTTGCAGCCTAATGAACCACACACTTGCAGCTTTTTCTAGCCTGACACCTGATTTCCTCTGTTGTGCTGCTCCATGATTGGCTCCAGCCTGCTGGACTGAAATTGCCCCAGTGTGCCCCTCCTTGATATCCCGCAACCCACCACCAGGGTTCCGACACATAACACACTTTTTTCAGGAAAGTAAACCTCCAGGGGTCCTTTCCATATTTTTACAGAGACTGCATAAGGACCGTTAGAAAAGCATTACCCATTGATTATTAAGCTTGGACCAGTGGGGTCCGGTGTTCGGGCCCCACCACGTAAAACCAGTCCCCATGACGTGAGTGGAATCTCAGGTTATGGAACCCACCAGGAGTTGAAAACAAGTGCACTCATGAACACACACTCCTGCACATGCACACACAGAAACACACCCACATACACACACACACAGACTCATGCACACAGACACACACACTTCTGCACATGCACACACAGAAACATTTGTGCACACATACACCCACACACACAGACAGACACACACACATCTGTACATGCACACATACGCACACACACTTATGCATGCACCCACATACACACACACACTCGCACACTAACACACACACACACACACACAAGGAATAGAAGGATTCAAGATTTTTACAAGTTTTATCAAACATTTGTATCTATGATTATTAAATGTGTTTTGTGTGTAAACCCCAGATTAAGGTGAAGGTCTGTGCAGCTAATCTCAGTCTAATCTGATGGATCTATGTTTTGCTTTTTGCACCAGGTTCCACTCGAAAGGTGAAGTCCCTGCGTGACCCGTCGTCTAAAATGTCCAAGTCGGACCCTCAGAGCCTGGCCACCATCACCGTCACGGACTCTCCCGACGACATCGCGCTGAAGATTCGCCGTGCGGTCACAGACTTTACCTCAGAGGTCACGTATGACCCGGACGCCCGCCCCGGGGTCTCCAACCTGGTGACCATCCACGCTGCCGTCACAGGCGTGTCCGTGGAGGAGGCCGTGTCGCAGGCCAAAGGCATGGACACGGCCTCCTATAAGACCCTGGTGACTGAGGCCGTGGTGCAGAGACTGGCCCCCATCAGAGAGGAGATCTCCAGACTGAGAGCCGACAGGACTTACCTGGAGTCCGTGCTGTCTCTGGGAGCGCAGAGGGCTCGGGAAGTGGCTGCACCGGTCCTGAGAGAGGTCCGGCACCGGGTGGGCTTCTGCTGAGGCTGTGGCGATCATTTATACTGAACATCCACTGCAGGAATGCTAACGTTTTGATACATGCTAACAAAGGATTCAGCATTTTACTTTGGACCACAGCAGAGAAAATGGTCAGAACCACGCGACCCCACCTCTGCTCCACCTCTGCTCCACCTCTGCTCCACCTCTGCTCCACCTCTGCTCCACCTCTGCCCCACCTCTGCTCCACCTCTGCTCCACCTCTGCTCCACCTCTGCTCCACCTCTGCTCCGCCTCTGCTCAGCCTCTGCTCAGCCTCTGCTCCACCTCTGCTCCACCTCTGCTCCACCTCTGCTCAGCCTCTGCTCCACCTCTGCTCCACCTCTGCTCAGCCTCTGCTCAGCCTCTGCTCAGCCTCTGCTCCACCTCTGCTCAGCCTCTGCTCAGCCTCTGCTCAGCCTCTGCTCCACCTCTGCTCAGCCTCTGCTCAGCCTCTGCTCCACCTCTGCTCCACCTCTACTCAGCCTCTACTCAGCCTCTGCTCCACCTCTGCTCCACCTCTGCTCCACCTCTGCTCCGCCTCTGCTCAGCCTCTGCTCCACCTCTGCTCCACCTCTGCTCCACCTCTGCTCAGCCTCTGCTCCACCTCTGCTCCACCTCTGCTCAGCCTCTGCTCAGCCTCTGCTCCACCTCTGCTCAGCCTCTGCTCAGCCTCTGCTCAGCCTCTGCTCCACCTCTGCTCAGCCTCTGCTCAGCCTCTGCTCAGCCTCTGCTCCACCTCTGCTCCACCTCTACTCAGCCTCTGCTCCACCTCTGCTCCACCTCTGCTCCACCTCTGCTCAGCCTCTGCTCCACCTCTGCTCAGCCTCTGCTCAGCCTCTGCTCAGCCTCTGCTCCACCTCTGCTCAGCCTCTACTCAGCCTCTGCTCCACCTCTGCTCCACCTCTGCTCCACCTCTGCTCAGCCTCTGCTCCACCTCTGCTCCACCTCTGCTCCACCTCTGCTCCACCTCTGCTCAGCCTCTGCTCAGCCTCTGCTCAGCCTCTGCTCCACCTCTGCTCAGCCTCTGCTCAGCCTCTACTCAGCCTCTGCTCCACCTCTGCTCAGCCTCTGCTCAGCCTCTGCTCCACCTCTGCTCCACCTCTACTCAGCCTCTGCTCCACCTCTGCTCCACCTCTGCTCAGCCTCTGCTCAGCCTCTGCTCAGCCTCTACTCAGCCTCTGCTCCACCTCTGCTGCTGTGACCTGAAGAACTATTATTATTATTTTTACTATTGTTAGATACTTTTAGAATGATAATTTTTTATTTATTTTTTGCTGCTTCTGGACACCTGATTTTCTCCTACGTGGATCAATAAAGTATCTATCTCTCTATCTTTACGTTTATACAAATGATCCACATGTTTTTTATCCAATATTTTCTTTGTTTATCAAATCAATCAATTACATTTTTTTATCTGGGGATTTCAAACAGCCGCACAAAGCACAAATTGTAAACAGCAGCCTGTGCAAAGTTTCTCTGCTTTCTTCATTTACAGGAAAATAATCCAAATGTTCAGCCTTTTTCATCATTGTAAATAAAACATTTAGTATTTGCTTCATTTTACATTTCCTACTCTTATAATTGTTCACATATGAGGTGTATATTCTTCTGTATTTAATTAATTTTGGTTTATACACAAGATATTCCACTGGATTTTAACTCTGCAACTGTATTTCCATCTGTGTCACCACAAGCAGCTGATGCCAGGTCGAATCTGTGGACATTTCTGCTGTTTCAAAGACTCAAAAAATAAATAATTATATAAATGTCACATGGAAAACATTAATGATACACAACATTTCGGTCCAGAACGATCCCCACCTGCGAGTTTCAAGATGCTTCACCTTTAATTCATCCGGGACTCTCTGACCACACACTTTTGAATGCATGTAATTGTAATAAACGTTATTTTTAACAGTCTGAAATCATGAATATTGTTTGTAAGGCCGTGGAAAATAGAGCTTTCTGGTCGTGTTTATTCTCCAGCAGAAAAGAGTGCGTCTCTCCTCTGGCCCTTCGACACTGACGGCTCATAAATACAGAGCCAAAGCTGCAGCAGACTGTAAATCCCAGTCACATGCTTAGACTCTGACTAATATACAACATATTAATGCAAACATAACTGCGCTGTTACAGAATCATGTGTGTTTTTAGGGCAGTAGAACCTCGGTAGTAAATGAAAATCCGCTGTGAAAGAGCTGAAAGTGAGACATTTTACTGGTGTGAGGCTTAGACCCGGTCAATAAAGTAACTCAAAGAGGAAACCGTAAACCTTCACCTGCTCTCACTTAATCCCACTTTATGTCGACTCAATACAGTCCGAGCGTTTCATAAAGTCCGGAGAAAATCTGAAAAATAAAAAAGGTTATTTCACTTGACTTCTTTTTCATTTGGACAAAGTGACGGCTCTTTAATTGGTCATTTTATAGTCTATACTTTTAGCGTTAGCTTTTAAACCGCCTAATTCACTTCATATTAATCTGTCACATCTGCTTTGTCAGTATATATATATTATAGCAAGAGTTTAGATGCACAAACTGATTTGTGCCATGGAAATAAATCGGGAAAGCTAACAATTTTCTCTTTACCAAATGTTTTCTGAAAAACCATGAGATCTATTTTAGTGTCTCCCCTTGTTTCGCAAATTCATTTTTAAGTTTACTGCCATTAACAACATGTTGCAGATCGGAACTAAAGTTTTACAATAATTGGACAAAATCTCAAAACGGAGATATTTGTTTTTGCATAAACTCTTCTTGTCCTGACTATATTTTTACTTCACAATTTAGATAAAAGGGAAAAACCCGAGAAACGCGTCGTTAGAAATGGTTTTCAAACTGTATTTTTCAAAGTCAATGTTTTTTGTTTATTGTCCTGCTGTATGAAAATATAAGTTTGAAATCAACACTTACTTAAATAATTTGTAAAGAAAATGCACTTTATAGAAATGAAAGAAACGCGTGCGTCGCTGCGGTTCAAGGTTCAAATGTTATTCTCACAATAGATCCATGTCCTGCATCCTCAGAGCTCACCTCAGAGCTCACCTTAGAGCTCACCTTAGAGCTCACCTCAGAGCTCACCTTAGAGCTCACGGTGACGGGGCGTTAATCAGAGGCAAACGCATCACAAATGAAAGCCATAGTTTACAGATGGTCAAAACCAACTTTAAAATGACACTATTTTAGTCAAAAAGGTCGAATGTGGAACGACCTGAAGCAGCAAATCCATTCATTATTTTAAAAAACATTTAAAAGAAGAATTTTTGATAAATACATAAACTCTTAGATCGGTCTAATAAGACAAACTTAATGTATATTCATAACAAAAACAAACGTGTACGCAAATGTGTGTGTGTCTGTGTGTGTTTGTGTGTGTGTATATGTGTATTTTTATTAAGTGTAAATAAGCTACGGCTGCTACACATTTTTGGTTATACCTTATTTGTAACGAAATTAGACCTATATATTTCTTTTTTCACTCACTGAGAGAGTTGTTTGTCTTCATACCAGGCCTATAATAAATAACAAACGTGCATTTTATTAATAAAATACATCGTTCTGTAAAAAGTAAAGTATTTAGTTTGTATAAAGCACGAAAACATGTAATAATAAATTGCGCAAATTTTGAAATGGATAAAATCTGTTAATTTTTGCAGTATGATGAGACAAGATGGTTCTTTTTAACGGAATCTGTTTTTCTTTAATAATATGAAGTAATTTAATGTTAACCTTTATAATGCACGGCGCGGGGAGACTTTGCTTTTACAGCCGCAGACACCGCCGCGTCACGGAGTCAACGATGTAGGATTCATACCATGATTTATACCATGATAATTCAGAGGTAAAAAGTCTAAAATAATCCAGGCATAGCTCATTTTATCACTGTATTTTTGTAGCATGTTTTTATTATATACTTATACTTTGTATATACAATACACAAAGATGAGAAAAGGATTTAGGCTACGCTTCATTTGACGTTATTCCCAAACAACTCAAACCCTTAGATCTCCTCACGATGTGTTTTTATCTTTGAGTCCACGTCTATCAATTCATAGATGCACAAAACCACCGGTACTTTTACTTTACTACTAAACTATTCATGACAAACCGAGGCCTGGGTCCAGAGAGGAGCTAAAACCTGCGGCTGGTCACGGAGCTTCAGGCGCGGACACATGGAAACATGTCTTTGGTCATCTCCAGAATGATCCAACGCCCCCCGCCTCGGGTCTGAGGGCCATGGGTAAAGTCCTGCGTGCGTGAGGTCAGCTGCACTGGCAGAGACTGGGCCCGTCAGAACCGCTGCAGAGGACGCGGTGGTCGGACGCGGCAGGACGCACGCGTTGCTCTTCCCTGATTGGACCCCAAATTTACTCTTCCCGTCCTTGCGCACTCGTGATTGGCTGCTTGGTTTTGACTGAGAGGGAAGAAATGGGCTGCCCTACTCGTCTGAAAAAACTCCTCCAGAAGTGGGTATCAATCAGAAGCGCGCACAGACGGACAGACTTCGACAAAGAAAAGCCAGGGACGTGGAAAGTCGCACCGCTGTGTCCACAAGTGTTACGCGCCATGACACGGACCGTCCACCGCGCTCCCACTCCGCGGCGTTAGACACACACTCTGGATTAACTTTTCTTCTTGGTTATTTGTTCTTTTCGCTTTGAGACGTGGACTCCCTCCTCTTTCCCCACGCGTGGATCTGAGACATGAGTGAGAGGAGGCGTTCGGCCGCAGCTCTGAGCTCGAGAGCGCACGCGTTTTCCGTGGAGTCCCTGATCGGATCCAACAAGAAGAGGAAGCTCCGGGGCTGGGAGGAGAAGGAGCTGGAGCTGTCCATGGAGAGCCTCGGGGATGACGGGGACGAGCCTCACTGCGGCCTGGACATGGACCCAGGTCAGCGGGGACCGGACACGCACGCACCGCACACACACGCACCTGATGGACATGGCTGAAGTTTAAGGCCTTCAAAAAGAGCTAGAAATGGAAATATACTAATTCAAAAATCTATACTGCCTGAATATAAAAAAAAAAACAATTTCAGCCTATTTTAGTTTCCCTGTTGTGTCTTTGCAAGCTACGTTATTATAAATTGGATAAAACATTAAACATGTATTAACAATTAACAAATTAACAATATTGACTAGATATTCATAATACAGAAATATGTGAATTACATTCACTATAATCAACACAACATCATGTCTCAATCTTATTTTACACACGCGGAAACACAGAGACAGTTAAAATACACACAAAAACAGAATTTATTTATACAATTCTGAGATTACGAATTTAACCTGTAGTAAATGTTGTCTTTGGGTAAAAAACACTGATAATTCTTTATACGTGTAAAGTTTAAGTCTTAGTTTCACGTCTGAGTTGTCATGATTTAGTTTATTTTTAACATTGACTGGAAATGAAATCCCTCTAAAAGTTTAAGAATGTTGTGTTTGAGGATAACTTTGGACCAGGAGCGTGGCGTAAACGTGACAAATGTGACGTTCGGCTTCATTTAGTCCAAAATAATGTCATTAAATGTTTCCTAAAGATAAAAGAGCCCAGACATATTTACCCTTTAACATTCACTCTTTGAACATTACAATGTATTTTAAAATTTTTGGGATTTTTGAAGATGTAGGAAACTAATAACATCAATAGTTTGTTTTGACGTTATTTTTAAACCCCAATTATTGTTTGTTTTAAGCCGTTACCAAAAGCTTGAGATGCAGTTTGATAATAAATGTCTAAAACTAAGTGAGATGAATCAAAGAGATTTAGCGACTCTAAAGATGATCCACTTTTGGTTCAACTGTGTTTTTATTTGCGGAGGGGTCTTGGCGAGATCCCGGAGCTTAAATTGGTAATTTTAGGGCCTTTTAAATCTTAAATGCCTTTAGAGAAAAATCTGCCTGAAAATGAAATGAAGCTTTTTTATTATAATTACAACAAATGAAAGAAGCAGGTCAGTCAGATTGTTTAGACCTCCTGGACCACACTGGATCTGCAGAGACCCAGACCCAGACCCAGACCCAGGGGTTTACGCACGGAGCATTACGCACGGTCCAGGCTCCAGGCTCCGTAGGCTCCAGGCAGATGGTTCCCTGGAGCGGCCCGGTGCGTGTGGCTCCTCCGCCGCCTCTTGGGCCGATTGTGGTTCAGAGAATGATTTTATTTGACTCGTGGCTCCGGGTTGGTCTTATAACACTTTTATGAGCCACAAACACAGTACGGTTTACAGAGACTGAACTCTTTACAAACATTACGCATGAGTCTGTTGTGTTTGTTGTGATTGTGGCGGAGTCGTTACGCATTTGAAATTAAACTGAGCTAAAATCTGAATCTGCACTGATTTTGGAATATGGAGAATATTTATGCACAGGTCTTATGGAAAATACATTTGAGGAATATGTGAAGGTGAGGAGCAGAACCGTGCAGCTTATAGATGTTTTAACTGTATGTTTTAACTGGTATATATGTTATAACCGATATAACTGTTATATGTTGTTATAACTGTTATATAACTGTTAAAATGAGGCTTTAGAGCAAACCCATCTGAGTGTCTTCAGGGGCCTCCTGCAGAAGTGTCAGTGTTTGTTGACTGTGTCTCACTTTCAGTCCAATGTTTTGCTGAACAGACGGATTTTAACATGTGACTCTCTGAAAAACATGTATTTATTTTACACTTGGAAAGATGAGTTGCTGCATGTTTGCTCACATTATTTTAAGCCGACGCCTTTGAGTTGAGTTGTGTGTTTATTTATTATATAGAAAGTGTTTAACTGTTTTTACGGTGACTCAGTGTTGAGACTTTACAGAAATATCCTAAACGTGTTTTAATGTCTTTACAATAGCTCTGGACCTCCTCTGTGTCTCTCTCTATGGCTCTCTCTCTGTGGCTCTCTCTCTGTGGCTCTCTCTCTCCGTGGCTCTCTCTCTGTGGCTCTCTCTCTGTGGCTCTCTCTGTGGCTCTCTCTGTGGCTCTCTCTCTGTGGCTCTCTCTCTCTGTGGCTCTCTCTCTCTGTGGCTCTCTCTCTGTCTCTGTCTCTCTCTCTCTCTCTCTGTGTCTCTCTCTCTGTGGCTCTCTCTCTGTGTCTCTCTCTCTCTGTGGCTCTCTCTCTGTGCCTCTCTCTCTGTGGCTCTCTCTCTGTGTCTCTCTCTCTGTGGCTCTCTCTCTGTGCCTCTCTCTCTGTGGCTCTCTCTCTGTGTCTCTCTCTCTGTGGCTCTCTCTCTGTGGCTCTCTCTCTCTGTGTCTCTCTCTCTGTGGCTCTCTCTCTCTGTGGCTCTCTCTCTGTGGCTCTCTCTCTGTGTGGCTCTTGCAGAACCATATCTGTGCCTAAACTCTGCCAAGTCAACCTCCTTCTCTCAAGGCCCGTAATAAATAATACATTATTACTTTCTTTGGGCTGAGGAGCTTTGGGCTGAGGAGCTTTGGGCTGAGGAGCTGCGGTGTGAGACAGAGGCAGAGGCTGAGGCTGAGGCTGAGGCAGAGGCAGAGGCAGAGGCAGAGGCAGAGACAGAGGCAGAGGCAGAGGCAGAGGCAGAGGCAGAGGCAGAGGCAGAGGCAGAGGCAGAGACAGAGGCAGAGGCAGAGGCAGAGGCAGAGGCAGAGGCAGAGGCAGAGGCAGAGACAGAGGCAGAGACAGAGACAGAGACAGAGGCAGAGGCAGAGGCAGAGACAGAGACAGAGGCAGAGGCAGAGGCAGAGGCAGAGGCAGAGGCAGAGGCAGAGACAGAGGCAGAGACAGAGACAGAGGCAGAGGCAGAGGCAGAGACAGAGGCAGAGGCAGAGGCAGAGGCAGAGGCAGAGGAGGCAGAGGCAGAGGCAGAGGCAGAGACAGAGGCAGAGGCAGAGGCAGAGGCAGAGACAGAGGCAGAGGCAGAGGCAGAGGCAGAGGCAGAGGCAGAGGCAGAGACAGAGGCAGAGGCAGGACGTTCTCATGTGGGATCGGACCGAATATAATCTGAGGGAGTTTAATGTGTCGAAGAAGAAAGATCTGACATTCAGCTGGAACAGTTTCATATTTAACCTCATTCTTTTTTGAACTTCTACAGAACATTTAAGGTCAAACTGGTCTTTTCCTTTTTGTTTCAAACCCTGTCCCGGACCAGCGCTGCTTCAGTCATCACAGGCTGTACTTTTATTACTGAAGTACTTTTATTACTGAAGTACTTTTATTACTGAAGTACTTTTATTACTGAAGTACTTTTATTACTGAAGTACTTTTATCAGTGAAGATCTTCTATTAGTGAAGACCAAACCTCCACAGTCCCAGCTCCTGCAGTGTGTGGTCCGATAAGAACTATTTTCATAATTGAGTTTTAAATCCGTTCTGTGCGTTTGTGTCTGAGCAGATCCAAAGCTCGGCCTCTGCAGGTTTGTGTCTGAGGTGATGCTTTTGGGCGGTTTCTGCTTTTGCCAAGTTTCCTGTTTCTGAAACATTTTCTCTCCGTCCGTGAGAGCCGAGGGTTGATCCTCTCCTCTCCCCACAGACTCAGAGGCCAGTCCGGGCTCAGACGGAGAGGGTCTGGCCGAGAGGACGTCTTGTTCTTTCGGGTCTCCTGCGGAGCTGGGCCCCGGGGCCTGCGACTCTCCTCCGGCCTCCATGGATGAGATCCAGGTGGAGCTGCAGTGCGCGGACCTCTGGAAGCGCTTCCACGACATTGGCACCGAGATGATCATCACTAAAGCCGGAAGGTAAAGACGTTCATCATTTCATGTCTGTGTAAATACGTGCTTTTTGGTCCAAGACATGACGCCGTTTGAACATGAAGATTATTCTGTCTTTATCTGGACGTTATTCTGTATTAATCTCACTGTTCCACCTTAATATCAAAGTCATTCCATCCTAAACCTTCTCTCCTCGTTATGGTCAGATTCTCACTTGTTTTTGGATAAATGCTTCAGTGATAAATGAGAGCGCATGGACCCGGGCACTGCAGAAGAAGCTCATAAATATAAATATAATTCCAACAGAGACTCTCTGTTCTCATGAACCAAAGCCATATTTACGACCTGAGAATGACACCAGAGCAGTTTGAAGGACACTATGACGTCACGTATACATGTTTTTATTTACGCAGGTGTTTTGGGGATTTATGTCACGGCTTCAGTCTGAGTTTTTACTTTCTTCCATTTGGAGTAAACAAACTGTAAACAGAGGTTCATTTGTAAAAATATATCAATATTGTAAATATACAACACATGGTGAAACTAGGGCAGTAATTGTTGCTTGATTGTATAATTATGTTTATATATTTGCATGTATAAGTATAACTGTAAAATATCTCCTCTGGACAGAAGTGTCTTCAGGGAAATGTTTGATCCATGGAGCTGAGGCTGTGTTTACTCCTGTGTTTACTTCTGTGTTTACACCTGTGTTTACTTCTGTGTTTACTCCTGTGTTTACTTCTGTGTTTACTCCTGTGTATACTTCTGTGTTTACTTCTGTGTTTACTCCTGTGTTTACTCCTGTGTTTACGTCTGTGCTTACTCATGTGTTTACTTCTGTGTTTACTTCTGTGTTTACTCCTGTGTTTACTTCTGTGTTTACTTCTGTGTTTACTCCTCTGTTTACTTCTGTGTTTACTCCTGTGTTTACTTCTGTGTTTACTTCTGTGTTTACTTCTGTGTTTACTCCTGTGTTTACACCTGTGTTTACTCCTGTGTTTACGTCTGTGTTTACTCCTGTGTTTACTTCTGTGTTTACACCTGTGTTTACTCCTGTGTTTACGTCTGTGTTTACGTCTGTGTTTACTCCTGTGTTTACGTCTGTGTTTACGTCTGTGTTTACTCCTGTGTTTACTCCTGTGTTTACTCCTGTGTTTACTCCTGTGTTTACTTCTGTGTTTACGTCTGTGTTTACGTCTGTGTTTACTTCTGTGTTTACTCCTGTGTTTACTCCTGTGTTTACGTCTGTGTTTACTTCTGTGTTTACTTCTGTGTTTACTCCTGTGTTTACTTCTGTGTTTACTCCTGTGTTTACGTCTGTGTTTACTCCTGTGTTTACTTCTGTGTTTACTTCTGTGTTTACTCCTGTGTTTACTTCTGTGTTTACACCTGTGTTTACTCCTGTGTTTACTCCTGTGTTTACGTCAGTGTTTACTCCTGTGTTTACGTCTGTCTTTACTCCTGTGTTTACTCCTGTGTTTACTCCTGTGTTTACTCCTGTGTTTACGTCTGTGTTTACTCCTGTGTTTACACCTGTGTTTACTCCTGTGTTTACGTCTGTGTTTACTTCTGTGTTTACTCCTGTGTTTACTCCTGTGTTTACGTCTGTGTTTACTTCTGTGTTTACTCCTGTGTTTACTCCTGTGTTTACGTCTGTGTTTACTTCTGTGTTTACTCCTGTGTTTACTCCTGTGTTTACACCTGTGTTTACTTCTGTGTTTACTCCTGTGTTTACT